CGGGGCCCGCCCTGCCTCCGGCCCCGCGGGTCCCGGCCTCCCCCGGCATTACGGGCCCAGGAGCACTCACAGGCGCCGGGGTCCCCCCTCAGCCCCACGGGGCCCGGGAGCCCGCAGCAGCGCCCCAGGACCCCCCCGGCCCCGCAGGGCTGAGCAGGTGGCCCCCGACCCGCACAGTGTGCCTGCTGCCCTCAGCCCTGCCTCAGGGGGCGGTCATGGCGACCCGCTGCCCGAGGAGGGACGACTCCTCGCCTCCTCATTAGAGCCAAACGCAGCCCAGACGGGTCCCCATCAGCGCCTGTGAGAACTGCTTTCACCAAGCAGCCGAGGGCTCCCCGCTGGGCTGCGGGGCTCTGGAAAAACATCCCCTTTGCAAGAAAATCGCCCGGAAGCATCGGCCCGCTTCCTTGGCAGGGAAAACCCGGTCCCTGTGGGCGAGCTCTTGTGCACAGCAGAATAACGAGGCACATTCCTTTCTCCTTTCTTTACCCCAGCTACAAAGTGCCACAAAACCCGCAAAGCTTCCTTGGTAACTGCTGGTGGACTTTTTACCTCATACTCTTTCCCTGTCCTTAAACCAAACACTCCACGTTTCAGCCCTAGATGACCTGAAAGTAGCGGGACAAGGGATGACACCTTCTTGCAGAGATGCTGATGGCACTTCTTTCTCCGGGGAAGAGACAAATGTGACGCTGTCGGGCTTGTTTTCCAACCCAGCTGTTGCGTCATTCCCGATGTGGTTCAGGTGGAGAGGGGCTATTTTCACACTCCTACCCTGCTTTTAAAAATAGCCTGTTATGTTTTAACACTCCAGGGCTCTTCAGCTGTTTAAAATGCTTAGTAAGTCATACCGTAATAGAAGTTATACATGCTGATGCATGCTATTGTCATCATCTTTCCCATGTAATTCCAGATAAAGTATGGAAACGTAATGAGCGACAGGTCTGAAAAGGGGTTGCTTGAGCTGTACTCTGCAAATCTGGTGAGTTGTATAGTTTCCTTCAAGGGAAATTAGCCTGTTCTTGTTTTCCCACACAGTAATGTTGTTGCTGGTACATTTTCAGCCCTATAACCCCCCCATTTTCTTTCTGGGGATGTTTCCACAGCCACACGTCCCCCACACTGTCCCTGGGAGGTGGATTAGCCTGTGCCTGACATGTAAAACCTTGCATGTGTCCCTATTAAAGAAGATCCCCTTATTTTAGGCTGTTTCCCAAGATCATCCCAGCTTGGTGCCACCAGCAGATTAAAAAGCATGCACCTCTCATCAGCTCAGCTGCCATGGATGAGCTTATGGCACTGGGCTGTCTCACCCTGGACACAGCTGCTCAGACAGGGATGACTGCAAGGATGGGTTTCCCTCAGGATTTTGCATCTTCCATTAGTCGCTTCCTCACAGCTTTGTTTCCTGGACAGCTCATGACAACACCAAACGAGGCAGTTACAGGTCCATCACCACTGCTAATTGTCAGGACAAAACTGTCAAAGAGCCAACAGGTACCGAACTCTTGGGCCAGAACCATGGACTTCTGAGAACTTCAATCAGAGCAGCTCTTTCCTGTATTATTTATGCTGTGGTAGTGCTCTGGGACCCACTGGAGCCAAGAGAACATCACACCAGACATCTGTGTGAAACCAACATACCCGCCCTGCACCCTAGCCAGGGACAAGGCTGGGGAGGGCCCATAGCTCACTGCAGAAGGTCTGGGGGAAGCGTAAAACCTGTGCTGGAGCTTGAGAGCGGGCAGGGATCCTGGGGCTCTGTCTTCTCATCTGCATGATGCACTGCTTGCAGTTTTGGGCACCTCTTTTGGGTTTGGGGTCAGCGTCAGTTAAACCTTGCAACCTGCTACTCAATCTAGAGTTATTTCTCCAGCTACTGCAAGGAGTTTTATGAGCAGGGTAAGCATTTTGCTGCTGAGGGCACCGGCTGTGAAGCCCCGAGTGCCAGGGAGGTTCTGCAGCCTCTTGCCCTGCCAGGCTCTGGGTGCCTGGGCTCCCACCACCACTGCTCCGGCCAAGCCCTGCTGGTTTTGCCTCTCTCTTACAAGAGGGGACTGATACCAGGGTTTTGGCATGCTCATAGAGCAGCGCTGTGTTTGGGCATGGCCTAACAGCTCATTTTGCTGCCAAACAGGCTGTCATCTCTTTGTTCCTTGATTGACTTTTACCTGGTTCTGCATCCTCCCTTCCAAGGTGTTGCTCCCCTGAGAGAAGAGCCTCACCCCGCTCCTCCTTGCTTGCCTTCTCAGAAATCCTCTGCCAACTTAACCCCCAAGACCTGAAGCCTGCCTCTGGTGCCCTGGGAAGGGTGCAACCCACCGAGGCAGGGCTCTCTGCCAAGAAGCAGCAGCAGAGGTGATCCTGCAGCCTGGCTGCTCCCTCCTGGGACCCACTCTCCCTCTGCAAGGATGGGTTCTTCTTAGGGTTTTGCATCTCCTGTCAGTGGCTTCCTCTCAGCTTCTCTGTGGAAGCTGATAAAGGCAGGCCGGGACCACTGGCATGATAGACAGGAGGGAATGGCCTCAAGTTGTGCTAGAGAAGGTTTAGACTGGCTCTGAGGAAGGATTTATTTGCAGAAGGAGTTGTTGGGCATTGGAATGGGCTGCCCAGGGCAGGGGGGAGTCCCCATCCTTGGAGGGGTTGAAGAGTCGGGTTGACCCAGCGCTGAGGGATCTGGTGGAGTTGGGAACAGTCAGGGTGAGGTTCATGGTTGGACTGGAGGAGCTTCAAGGTCTTCCAACCAAGATGATTCTGTGATCCTGTGATGATGCTGGGTACCCAGAAAGGTGGAGAATCCTCCCTCCTTGGAGATGCACAGCTCCCCTGGAGACAGCCTGGAGCAGGTCCCTCATCTGCCATCGAACAGAAACACGGTGCAGTGGGAATCTGTATTTCCTCCAAGGCACATCCCAGCCCCATGCGGTGGTGGTGAGCCTGAGTGTCAGCGGCCATGCTGGGCCAGAGCTCAAGGTTGTCCCAGCAAGGCTGCATAGAGGTCGAAGGGGGAGGATGTTCAATTAAAGCTGCTTAAAAAAGAAATCCAACTTTCCATATGCCACTCTGGAGAAAAAAAAGCCCCGAAGCTGAGCGCAGATGGGGTGCCAGGCTGGGGGCCAAGCACAGCCCCAGTGGCAGAGGTGACTCCGGCTCAGCCATTCCCACTGTGTCTGATCCATGGGAATTAAGGATGCCTTTTGGCATTTCCTTATGGAAAGTTGGAGATTTGGCTCAGCAGAAATCCCCGTGCGAGCTCGGCCAGCAGCCAGCCCTGAGACACAGTGTCCTCCAGGCTACACAGGGCTCCCGCCGGTCTGGCTCCCTCAGGCATGCTGGGTGCTGGTGATGCTGGGGGCAGCTCTGCCCTGCAGTGCCGGTGCCTGGGTGTGCTCCTCCATGGGGACACCAGACTGGGACAGTGGCACTGGAGACTGTGGGAGGGCAAGGAGCCATCCCACCTCTGTTGGTGGCCCTGGCACAGCTTCAGCCCATCCTGTTGGAGAAACCCAAGTGTGTTCCCGCAGACAGAAATGAGTTCCCTGGCCGGCACCTTCTCCAGGAGGAATTTCCTTGGGCAAAGGAACAGAGGACTCAACCATCGCGTGGCAGAGGCGGTGGGCAGCGTGGCCGGGAGGTTGGCCCTTGTGTTGCTGTGCCACGTGTGCCATCCCACTCGTACAGCTTCCCAGAATAGTGTCACCATCTGGTTCCAGCTGTCTGGGGACACGGGGGCCTCCCCAGCCCCTTCTGCGATTACAAAAAGTGAATTCAAACATCAACTCAGCCTAACTCGGCCTTCCTTTATCCCTTTTTTTTTTTTTTTAATAATTCAGGTTTGTCTCTTAGAAAAGAGAGTGGGAGATAATGTCTGCAGAGCATTTAATCTTCTGCCCAAAGAATAGCAGAGAGCAAATTAGGATCTACTCCAATTAATTTGCCTTGATGGGCAAAATCTGGAGAGCGGCCATATCTGGGAATTAAGAACAAAAGCAGGGAGTGTAAAGTAGGTCACCGGAGTTTCATAACTGGAGCGATGGGTTTTCACAGCGTGCCGGAGCTCAGAGGTGCCCAGTGCTGGGGGCCACCAGTCCCTGTCCCCCCAGTCGTCTCAGCCTGGGCAGTTGCTTTAAGATCCTGGCCAGTGTGCGGGGAATCAGCTGTTCAGTTCTGAGGGCAGAAACGAGGACGCTGTCCCTTCCCACGGCAGGACACCGCCACAGGACTGTCCCAAGCCCTTGAACACAATGAGAGGATGGACACTGGCTGCTTGTCCCAATTTTTGAGCAGCTGGAGAGATCTTCCAGGGGTTGGTGTGCCTGTCCTTGCTGGCACAATGCCACTCCCAGCCTTGAGGGCACCTCCTGGAAGGAAGATTTGGGGTGACATGGTGACAGTGTGTTTAGGGTAGTGCTCTGCTATGGGCCCTTGCACCATGGGGTGTCACCCAGCAATGGTGACCCACAGGCCTGTCCTATCCCGGCATCCCCAAATCCCAGCCCCAGCATCCCCAGAGCCATCAGTGCCTGCAGGTTGTGTGGTGACATACTTTGGTGTCACATATGGGGACACCTTCCAGCTACAGGACATGCCTGGAAGTGTAGCCAAGGGTAGAGACCATGTATGGTGACATGCACTGGTGTGCAAGACACGTGGTGACATAGCCAAGGGTGGGGGATATGTGGTGGCATCTCCTAGGGCATGGGACAGGTGCAGTGCATCTTTCTGCAGGGTCAAAGACCCTGAGTGTTTGGTACAAGGTCCTGGCTGCGTCAAAAGTCTCTTGAATCAAGTAACCAGCGATAGGACAAGGGGCAATGGCCTCAAGCTGTGCCAGGGCAGGGTCAGGCTGGCTCTTGGGAAGTATTTCTGTGCAGAAGGGGTTGTTGAGCGTTGGAATGGGCTGCCCAGGGCAGGGGGGGAGTCCCCATCCCTGGAGGGGTTGAAGAGTCAGGCTGGCCCAGAGCTGAGGGATCTGGTGGAGTTGGGAACAGTCAGGGTGAGGTTCATGGTTGGACCGGAGGAGCTTCAAGGTCTTTTCCAACTGAGGTGATTCTGGGATTCTGTGAAGCAGTGCAGTTTGGTGCATGCCGGTGTCACCATGGCAGTGACATCCCACCGGCTCCCCTGGACACCTCCCCCTTCCCCAGAGCAGGACGGTGGGGAGCAGCTCACAGTGGCAAGGCCGGCGCTGCCATCCCTGCAGAGGTGCCAGTGGGGTGACGGGCACTGCACGGCCAGCGCCTGCCCGGTGTTTATCCTCTTAGCCACCCTGCAGGGATCCAGCACTAATTCACCCTTAAACACAGGATTGTCCAATACTGGAAATGAAAGAATTGGTGGATTATCCCTCCCGGTACCAGCGTTAAACACGGGGAGCAGCAGCTGCTAGCTGAGGAGAGCCAGGATGGTGTTTTACCCCATGTCCCACAGGTCACCTGGCCCCAGGCTGGGTGCCATCCCCTGGGAAGGCTGATGGCAGCCTGTCCCCACTCCTCTCCACATGATGTTTTTTGAGCTCCAGGGTGGTTAATGAAATAACTAACATTAAACAAATACATGGTCCCCCTGTGAAGCTGAGGGATCGGCAGGGACTGTTCAGCCCCCCAGGATGCACCACAGCAGGACAATCAAGGCAGCATTTCCCAGCCCTGGATGCTGGCAGGGGACCATGGCAGCTGCAGTGACACCCCCGAGGTCGGGGATCACACGTTTACGTGGTAGGACCTCACAGGAAGAAGTTTTGCAATGAAACAAGAAATAATTTTCCCTGGCTTGAAGAGGACAGCAATAATTGAGCTTCTTGGTTACACACCGAAGGCTTTCAGACAGGGGCCAGCGTGCAAAGGCTCCCCTGGACCAAAACCACAACTGTGCCCTGTGACCGGCCACGGGAATGTTTTCGGGACAGCTTTGAAGTCTCTCTGGGAATCAAAGAAACTGCAGCAACTCGCTACTCACGGCACGTAGCTGCTTTTCTCAGCGCTCCTGCTTGCAGCTGAGCCTCGTGCAGTCCATGGTGTGGTGGCACTCATGCCGGCTGGAGGATTTTGGTGTCAGGGTGCTGTTGCCTTTACCGAAAGGGATGGTTTCCCACACACCAGCCAGATCTACCCACCATGCCAGCGAGGAGGAGCACTGATCTGTGCAATAGATGGGGTGACCCATTTGCAATTCTAATGTCCCTTTAGGTGGCTGGGGAAGGGGGGAGGTCGCCTTGCCAACCCATGGCTAGGGAAGCTGGTTTGCCACGATGGGTTTTAGCATGTTAGGGAAGAAAAAATATCTGGAGTTTGTGGCCTAACAGCAACAGGGGTTGGAACAACAGCATCTTCCACTGATAGACACAAGTTTAACCAAGTTAAACTCCAGCACATCATCTTGGTTTAACTGCAACAAGTTCCACTTGGACCCAGATGAGAGCTTCAATTCCGTTTTTTTCACCTATGTCATCCTGATTGAAAAAAAAAGCCTCTCTTCCCTGCAAATCCCAGTTTCCTTCATGACCATTAATAGGACTGAATAGAGCAGGACCAAAATAAAAGGGATGGAAAATAGGCTTTCTTTCAGAAAATTATCTGATGCTGCTGGAGTTGCCCATCAGAGGACAAGCTATTGGCTGCTGAAAACAAAAAAAGAGAAATACACACACTGTGTTTTCCTAAAATGCCCTTTAAAATAACGAAATCATTTGACCCATCTCTAAAGGGAATATCCTTTATGCCTAGCCCTGAAAAGCAGCTGTCAGGGAACTGCAGGGTGGTGGGAATCCCCAGTGCAGCCCTCCCTGGGGCCATCATGGTCCTGTGGGTTGTGCGGTGTGGCCGAGGGCAATGTGCTGGGGAGGACAGAGCCCCCCCAGTGACCCTCCCCAGGGCTGGTCCATAGAGCATCTTCACTCCAATCCCCAGAGCAAACCTGGAGCTGGGAAAGGGCGCGAGGGCCATTCCATGGCAGAGAGACAGGAGAAATGTAAAAGCGTCTTTTAATATAAATATAAATCCATCTGAAGGGCTGCAGGAGAGGCCTGTGCCCCGCAGGAATGCCCTGGGGGGTGGTGAGCTCAGCGGGAACCGTGGGCGCCTGTGCCCAGCCAGCACCAAGGGAATGACCAGGGGCATCAGCTGGGCACCCCGCAGGAGGGCAGGGCTAGAGCCGGGGCACCAGCAGCGGCAGGGCCGGCAGGGCCAGCAGGGCCAGGAGGCCAGGGCGCAGGCGGGTGGCTGAGCCCCGCAGTGTGGCCTGGTTGGTCTCGGCAGCTGGTGAGCCGTGGGCACTGGCCAGGTGTCCCCGGGCACTGCACAGCTCCTGCAGGTTCCCCTGGAACTGGATCTTGCGGGACTCCTGGCGCAGCGACTCCCAGATGGCAGCTGCTTCCTCGGGGCAGCTCGACAGCACCTCGCTGGCACAGGCGTGGAAGTCATCCCAAGACCTGGGGAGAGGGGCAGGAGCAGGGAGGGACCCACTGGTGGCAGGTCGCCCGGCAGCTCCCACAGGGATGGGGACACTCACTTGCAAATGGTGTCTAGCTCCTGCGCCTCCTTGCTGCCCTCCTCCTGCTGCTGCCGGACGCTCTGGGCCATGCTGTCCCCCAGGCTGAGCAGGCAGCCGGCGAAGCCCTTGTAGATGGTGTCACACTTCCCCACCATGCTGACGGGCTCCTGGCTCGCGGCTGCAGGGGAGAGACAGAGCTGAACCCCTGCAGACCTCCCCGACAGCCACTGCCCACCCAGCTCGAGGGTGCAGAGGGTTTGGGTGACACTGGGTGTGGGTGACACCAGGCTCCAAAATGTGGCGAGAGGCTGGCACCCCTTCCCACATCCTGCTGGACCCCACAGCATCCTCTCCCCAGGCGCTCAGAGAGAACCTTCGCCCCCAGCCCAGGAGCCTGACGTGGCTCGATGTGATGACCCCACAAGTGATGCTGCCATTAGCCGCGGGGAAGAGCAGCATGCCAGTCCTCTGGATAAATCATTAGCCCATTCGCTGCAGGGAAAGCTGGGTGCTGGCCACTTTGGGTAAATCATTAGCCGCAGGGAAAGCAGGGTGCCGGCCGCATTGCCTTGGGCTTCCCAGGCCATCCCTGGAGCCATCTGTCTCTGCTTTTATCCCCTAACAGCAAAGATTAATTTGTGACTACAACAGAAAAAAACAAAAGCAAACAAATGGCAAGCTGGAGCCCCTGCTCCTACTGTAGCAGGAGAGAAGGGGAAGGGGAAAAGAGGAAAGGGAAAAAGCAAAAGGGCAAAGGGGAAGGAAAAGCACAAAAGGAAGAGGTACAAGTGCAACTCTGGCTACTTCAACCTGGGAAGCCCCAATTCCCTGCTCTGCTCCACAAAGGATGAATCACGGAACCAGCTAAACCCCGGTGCCAGTCTGGGGGTCCAGTGGGGTCAGACGGATGTGGGTTCCCTGGGTCACGTCATGGGAGGCACAGGGACTTTTGGAAGTGCCGTGGGTGGGTGCCCAGGGGGTCTCTAAGCTAAGGATGCTAAAAAGGTGTGAGGACAGTCCCGGAGGTGCCCTCTGTGGGAAGGTGACTCCAGAACCAGCTGAAAGTTGCTCGTTGGCTGCTGAGGCAGCCAGGATGTCTCCAGGGAACTGTATACCTTGCTGCTGGCATCCCATGCCTGTGCCCCTGGAACAAGGCCCTGAGCAAAGCGGCTGTGCCCGAGACTAACACCGGGGCGAGCCTGAAACCTCAGCCTGTCACAGAGCACAGCAGGTGTTCGCGATGAGAAACCCCCAAGCACATCACCAAGAAAAGTCTTGGATTGAGATATCCCCAATGTCACAGGTAGAACAAAGAAAGCGGGATCTGTTGTTCCTCTTTCGACCCAGCCTGGCAAAAAGCATGTCCCCACCAGCCCAGGGACACGCTGGCTGGGCTCAGCAGGTGCCTTCCCTCGGGTGGCTGGTCCCTGCCGCGGGCTGGGCTTTTGCCTCCTGGGCTCCTCTAGTGCCAGGCACAAGCCCTCTCGTTCACCCAACTCCCTCGGCAAGGAAAGAGAAACCAGGAGGGCACAACCTCTGCTACCCCATCGCAAAACCGCGTGGGAAAAACCTGCCCCCGGCTCCGGCGGGGATCGAGCCCGAAGGGAAACGCACGGAGGGAGTTTCTCGGGGTGTTGCAGAGCACCGCTGGCTCCCGACCTAACGCCGATCCTGCTTCTGGGGAAGAGCCCGAAACATCCACCCTCTGATCCTGAACCCCCCCCACCCCGGCACTCCCCGTCCTCCACTCT